AGGGAAAGATTAGGTCGTCCAAAACACACCAATAGAAAGAAATAAGCTTCGAAGGGAAAATACCAAAATACCCTTGCTTATTTTTTATTTTTCGTAACCACTCTGCCCCAGCCATGATGACACGCACTCCGCTCTGGGATTTTGCGCCCGCTCCAGCCACTACATTGAAACTCCCCACTCCAAGGTTATTGTAGTGGCACAGAGCCACTTCGCTCCACTGTTATAGCGGCCGCTATTGACAACATAGTTTAAACTTAATTGCATACTAATAAGAAAGGTTTTATTCTCAAACTATTTCAAAACTAATTTCTATATAATAACTAAACTTCTAGATCTCATCTTCAAAGCTGCTAACACAATGAATATAAAGAATGGCAATATAGTTGACTCTCAACAACACATAAAATAAAGAATAGCAAAAGATTGTTCTTTCTTAAACCAAAAGATAAGAAAGGTTCATTATGTACAGACAGAGATAGAGCAATTTACTCCCAACTGCCTTAAATTTTGTCATTATTTCTCAACATTTCTCCCTTTCAAACTTCACTCTTTGAAAGGAAGTGGCAGGGCATAATCAAGAAAGCAATATTCAGTCCCTCATCAATCTGCATGCATCAGCACCAGTAAATATAGCCGCTTAACATCACTTTTTATAGGTTGGTAAGGAAAACTTATAATTCCGTAAGCTAAAAGTCGGCGAAAGAAATTGAGAAGCTTTAATTTCAAAATGTTATCATGATTCTAATAATCTTTTCAAGAATGAGGATTGACAACTATATCATGACATGCATACGGAATCCATAATAAACTATCAAACCTGTTCTAATTATTAATTTTCCCATTTAAAAAAACTGATTATGGTATGCAAACAGCTATATTTCATAAAATAACCAAGCTGGATAGAGAAAACCATTTCAGTTAATCAGCTAAGAAGCAGAAGCTGGCTAAGACATAGTAATGCAGTATTAATTAATAGGTTCAAATAGGAAATAAAATTAAAACAATTACCAAGCCGTTCAAGTTCTCGATCAGCAAATTTGACAACAACAGGACATGATTCCTAGGAAATGTAAATGCATCAAATAATAAATATGTGTGTGAATTAATGAAATGAATAGCAAGAAGAAAAGGTTTAAGTCATCCATCATAGGTAAAGTTGTTCTTACCCCAGGAAATGTATATTGATTGCTTAAAGCTTTAATAGCCCTGTCAGCTTCATCTAATGTTGCGTATTTAACAAAACAACTTCCTGTATAAGTTAAACAGAACAAAATTTGGACTATCATTAATACTTGTAGATATACAACATATATGAACCCAAACATCAAATGAAATTCATCAAATAAAATTCATTAGTCCTCGCAAGTCTTGGAAGACCAAATTGCACAAACTGAGGAAGATACAAAGAAGTGAAATACAAAAAATTGTTAATAAAGATACCTTGCCGTACACCAGTTCTCTTATCTTTTAAAAGAACAACCTCAACAATAGTTCCATGTACTTCAAATACGAGGCGAATCTGATATAAAGTTACAAAAAATAAAGGATATAGAAGAGTAAGAGCTATAAGAAAAAAATAAAAAGCATGACATCACACATTATGCTAAAAAGATACATGACAAAAATGTCAAAAGATAAATAAATAAAACATAGGAGAATTGGCTTTGAACATCACAGAAAAATAATCTCCACCGGCGTATTACAGGGAAGGCTACTAAATTCTTCTAGGGGACAATCTCTTATCAGTTGAAATTCTAATACCCCACCCAAAGTGTTGCTTACGTTGAAACTTGGAACAAGGATTACAATAACAATTAGAGCACATTTAGTATAGAGAATTGATTCCAAGTAATCAAAATGGAATAGGAATGGAATGATGATTTCTACTCTAGTGTTTGGTTATAAGGGGAATCAAATGACATTTGTTTTCATTTCAAATTACTATTATGCTTAGTACATGAAGATAAATAAGGTGATAAAACAAAATTCAATCTACTCTTAGCCTACAACTGTGAGGAACCACCTCCTGGAGCAAACATAGGATTCAGTTCACCATTCTCAATTTTACATAAAAGACCATTGTTACCATACACATACTATTATACTATTATACACATATTAACGGGAATAGACTTACATCAGCCTCCGATGCCGTTCTTGGAACAGGTGCAACATAAACTTTCACATGGCACACACCGTCCACTGGATCTGCAAGGAGGAAACCGTGAGGCGTAAGTAAACAAATCAAAAGCGTGATACATTTCCAGAGAGACACTAATTTAGTTGAAAAAGAAAAAAAGTGAAAGAAAATTAGCAGTGCCTGGGGGAGAAGTTCCTTGGTTGGAGTGATGCCAAGGGCGTTTGCGGGGAGGGCGAGGCATGGAATGGTTGAGAGCGTATCCAGAATCGCCAGCGGGTGGTGGTTGGAAGTGGTGGAAGCTGTTGCCGTTGTCGTGAGTGTGAGGGTTTGGAGGGTCTCCGGCGCTGAAATTGACCCTTGGCTCTACCTGCTCCATCGGATTCTCCATCTTCGTCAGCTATGGATCACACACGCGCTGACGTGTGCCCTAGAGACGGAGGAACTTGACGAAGAAGGAGCACTGAAGTCAGAGTCTTCGGTTGCTCTTCTGTTCGAGTACTCTGCTCTGCTTCCAAAGCAATTCTCAGATGATTTGCAGTGCAGTGCCCACGGGGTTTAGCATATTTTTGAACAATAATAAACTTTTATATATATACTTTCGATAATTATTCTGGACAGCATTTTTAGGTTATTTTCAAAAAAAAATCATTTATTATTTTAAATTAAATTTTAATATAACTTTTTAAAAATTTATTAATGATTAAAAAAATATAATCATAATATAAATTATTTATTATAAATTTTTAAAATAATTTATATGTTAAAATATCATTTATTATAAATTTTATTTAAAATGTTTATTTATTATTACTAGGAATAGGAATAGATCCGACTAAAACAAACTTTATATATATAAATTGACTTTGTTTTATAAAATTAAATCTTAAATTTTAGTCTTATCTATTATTTATTATAAATTTTTTAATAAGTCTGATTTAATATTTTTAAAATATCACTTATTAATTTATTTAAAAATTTATTTATATTAATAATATTAATTAAGTCAATAAACTTAATTTTTAAAAAATTGATAAATTTATTTTTAATATATAATTTACTCAATATTATTAAAATTTAAATTTTAAAAGAAATATATGAGAAAAAATGAAACATTTTCTGTTGAAGGTACAATTTATACATAATCATGTATGTTGATGTATAGTTATGTATTGATCGTAAGGTTAATAAACTTATAATAAAAAAAATAATTGTATAAAAAATATTTTAAATATTGATAATTTATTTTTTTAATAAATTTATTTATTTATTTATATTTTTAATATATGTATACTAGTTTTTTATTACATTATGTAAATAAATTTATTTTTAAAATATAGTTTATTTAGTATTATTAAAATTAAAATTTTAAATGAAATATAGAAAAAAAGATGAATCATTTCCTGTCGTAAGAATAATTTATGTTTAGCCATGGATGTTAAATATATATATATATATTAATTTTTCATTGTATTGTATAGATAAATAGGTTGATCTATTAGACGTAACAAACTTTTTTATAAATTTAAACCTAATCTTTTTATTTAAATAGGTTTTCTTGAAAGTTTAAACTTTACATTTTTATTATATAGGTCAATCCAAACCAAATTTTAAAGAGGTCAGGTCATAAATTCATGTTGAAAATTTAATTTATTTTTATCCTTAATTATTATATGAATCATTTTAATTTTATAAACGAATATTTATTTCATATTTTCCATAATAAAATCAAAATTAAATTGATTATTAAAAAAATATTTTTATTGTTTTTGTGATAATGATAAATAGATAGTCATTGTAAAAAAATAATTCAGTTATCCTCTCCAATAATTCAATCATCTTATTTTTTCATCTAAAATCTATTATATTAAAAAGTTATGTCTTATTAAGGACGCATGTCAAATTTAAAGAGGAATTTTTTTAAAAATTCTTTTTTTCATTCATGTTCCATTTTTAGGGTTATCATTTAATTGATATTGTAACGATAATTAATAACATATTTTGCTTGGAACCTCACTCACTTCCATCATGGTGAGGTGACTAGCATCTTGTTATAAGATTTGCTTATTGTAAGTTATGATAAAAAAATTTATTCATGATATATGAGTAGGGTTTAAAAAATAATTGCAATTTGTTTGACTTTTTAAATGATGTATTTTTCTGTAGTGTTTAATAAATGGTCGAGATTTTTTGGTTTAAAAAGATCATGATAGGATTCAATAATTTAACCATCATATCTTTCCATCCATAATCTATTATATGCAACAAAGTTAAATCTAATCAACAACATATGACAAGCTCTTTCTCACTCAAAATTTTTTTCTATATCTTTTACACTTTTAGTTTTATTCCATTTTTCATTGGTTTATGTAGTATTGATTATGAATGACAAGTTTTGCATTATTCTCTTTTTCGTCGTATATATTGTTGACATCAATCAACTTTCACCCACTTTCATTACAATGGGTGACCAAGAGGATTTGTTTGACTAATAACTAATTGATATAGTTTGTGGTTGATAAGTTGATTCATTGTGTACGAGTGAGATTTAAAAAGTAATCATTATTCACTTAAGTTTTTAAATAGTATTTTTTTAATGGTGTTTAACAAATAGTTGAGATTTTTTCGTTTAAAGATAATATGATTCAATAATTCAACAATCGTGCCTTATTGTTTAAAGATAAACCTTTTTACTGAAACATGTTAAACTCTATAAATTTTCTCCTCTAAATTCTTTTTCATTTCTTTTTCACTTTTTGATATATTTCATTTCCTTTTAATTTTATTTTTATTTTTTATTATGGATGACATATAACACTATCTTCTTTTGTTGGTATTGCAAAACCCTCTCAACTTCCACCCACTTCCCTTATGTGAGATGACTAGCATGATGTTGTATAAGATTTGCTTGGTTGATGATAACTTGTTATAGGCTATGGTGACAAAGCATGAATGGGGTTTAAAAAACAATTGTTAGTTACTAAGCTTTTAAAATAAGTTTTTTGTTTAATGGTGTTTAATGAATTATTGAGTTCTTTTGGTTTAAAAATATTTGGATTCAAAGCTTAAAATAACTTACTAATAGATGTAATGTTTTAAAACTCGCATTGGTGAGTGATTCATAAGGGTACTAGGTCAATGGGTTACTATACAAATCAATGAGTCACTGTTAAACTATATGAACTGTTACAAATAAAACATAATTTAATACATGCATATACGTTTTATTTTAAAAAGATATTAATAAAAACATCATTTGGCATATTTGTATAGTTAACTTGTAACACTGTGAATTTCATGACTCGTGTTATCTAATTGACAAGTGTTATGGAGAGCTCTAAGACCAAGAGACCTTGAGAGCAAATTAATCTTTAGATAGCTAGACTATTGATAAAGGAAGTTGGTTTAGGAAGATATGAAAGGAAAAAATTTCAAAAAAAGGTTCATAACTCAAGTTTTTGTCTTCAAATTTGCTATAGAGGTTGGGGAGAGAAAACTTCTTCCTTTTTTTTCTCACTTCCTTTTGCACCACTCCCTCAACTGATTCTAGTAGAGGTGGTGAAGAATTTGAGCTGTGAAGTCAAAACTTCAAGCTAGTGGTGAGCAAAGTTCCTTCTCTTCTTCCTTTTCTACTCTTGTGGATTGATTCACTAAGAGGTAAAGGAAGCTATGATTTCAAATTTTGTGAGCATAAAGCGGATTGTGATGCTAAAATGGGATGATTTTGGGTTGTTAAGAATATCTAAGTGATGAGAATGATGTGATAGGGTTTTGTAGCTTTGAGGTGGGATATGAGAAATGAGTTGATTCTCGAGTGATTTTAGCTACATATTGTTTATGATGATGGAATGGTGTTATCCATGTTGTGTATGTGATGTTTATTGCATTGCATGTTATCGGGATTGCTAATTTTTAAGAGGGTAGAAAATTAAAGTTTTGCACAAGTTCAAAACCTTATATCACGTCAAGCGCGCCTTTAGGGACCGAACACGACTTTAAAGGGAAGTCTTTGTCTTACTCATATCGAGCATATGATCAATGGTGTCGAACGTGAGAAAAAAGACTCATCTACGATCAGAATCACATTGACCATGGGTTGAATGGCGTCAAGTGTGAGGAGAGTGATTCATCTCTACATATATAGGTTCACGTTGGATGCTAATGTGTGTGGCACTAGACATGAGTTAAACTGGGAGCTCTTTGTTTGATTGAGGTCGAGCATGGGTGTTTCCACGTTAAGCGCAAAAGGGTGAGACACTTTCTACCTCAATCATGTTGGACATGAGTAGTGCAACATTGGACATGGACGAGACAGAGAGCTCCCTACCTCAATGGTGTCGGGCACCCAATGAGTGGCGTCGGAGACAACTTGTATGATGAAAAACCTATTGTTAAAGTTATTATAAATTGATGCATGATGAATAAGTTGCATGGATGATGATGAAAGATGGTGTGTTCATAAGTATTAAGTTGAATATGTTGTTAAGTTATATATTATTTTAAGTTGCTTAAATTATATGTCGTTAAGATGATAATGTGCTCATGTTACAAAGATGTATGGTGTTTAAGTTGTTTAAGTTGATAAGTTGTATGTTTAATGTTTATAAAGTTGTTAAGTTAATAAGTTATAGATATGTGAGTTAAATACATGTCTTAGTTATGATACATAAAAATTAGAAGGGAGTAAAGTTGTTTTCAAAAGTTGAGCATTCCATTGTGTGGATACATGTTATGGTATTCCAAGAGTCCGATTAAAAACCAGTAAGTAATTTGACATTTGAATGGACAAGTTGTTTTCAGTTATCACATGTAGGTTTTATGTGATCTCTACATGTAGGCAAGGTCAAGGGACACATATAGAAAGCAACCAAGTAAATACTGAATTAAGGACTTGGTCTTTAACATAATATTAGAGGGTTGTAATATTTAGAGGGTAGTCAGCAGACTAATCGTATAAGTGATTTAGTGATGTAGTCTAATGTCATGGTAAACCCATATCCAAATTATTTTAATTTGACTTAGTATCATATTTCATAGTTTAAAAGGCGAAACATGAGAAATCAATCTAACTAATGTTAGTAGTTGTTTCTGACCTTGTGCTAACTGTTATTTTTTACTTTAGTGTCAAACTTTGTTTTTAGTTTTATATCAACCATTATGAATCGGTAGGGTAAAGCCATTTAAACTACTCACTTCATGTTGAAGAGATATCCATAACTGGTACGCGTGACGACGCGTCAAATGTAGTGATAATGTGTTAAGGTGCTGAATGTTTTGTAAGTTGATTAAGTTGTTGTGCTGATAATGTTGTGGTGTCGCAAGCTATTATATTTTGCTATAATGATGTTTGTTTAATTTTTTTTACAAACTTACTCTGTGTTTTCCTCGTGATTGAATTTGTAATGGTCATATTTAATACGAGAACAAGACAAGATTGAGCAGATGCTTGTACAATTTAGACGATAGTCATTTTAAAGGTGGATAGGTTTTGTTGATTGCTACTCTTATGTAGTTAGATTTGGTATAGATGTCGACCGACGCTTAGATTTA